GATATTATGGAAACTCGGCAAGTTCCATAATGCATTATGTTCCAATAAACTGAAAACCATACATAATAAAACTGTAATTAATTCTGACTAAAGGCTTGCTTGACTAGCATAAATGTATATCTAAGCAGGACTTCTTGCCACAACTGTTAAAATCCAACAGTGAGTGGCATGCTAGACAGATGTGCATCTGACACAGTGTTCTAATCCATCTATCCCCACTGAACTAAGAGTTCCACTGGGCTGTGTAACGCAATTATCCACAAAAATAATTACATTTAACCTTTCATTTTTTATGCAATTGTTTCATAATTAAAACTATGCATCTGTCTTGCTTAATGCCTAGCATTGATTTCATCATGATTTGAATTAATGAAAAAGAATCAAAGAACATCACAAGCTCCCTGAACCTGAACCCTGAAAATCTGGTGGGAACAAAGGAGAGCAACACCCCACAAACTTGTCATTTACACTCTTCCAAATTACCAGCCTCTCTTGCAGTTTCTGAAATAGAAGTCAAGAATTAGTTTCCCGTATGTGATGTTTGTGTATCTCTCACCAACACACACACACTCTCTCTCTCGCGAGGAATATTTTACCTCTCGTCAGCTTGTCATCCTCAAATTGCGATGTTGAGCTCACTCCTGACAGACACTCTAGTGTTATACTGGGGAAATACTGTATTGTCAGAGGTGCCATCCTTCGGATGAGATGTTAAACCAAAGTCCTGTCTGTTTATTCAAGAGGAAGTTAAAGATCCTGTGACACTTCAAAAAGAAGGGAATTTCTCACTGTATGCTGGCCAATCCCCCACCCACTAACTTGGTCCTTCACTTTATGGTGATCTGTGTGACCTAGCCACACTCAATCACTACTCTTGAAAGCCACTAACTGTGAAGTTCTTTAACACTTTAACGATCAAGACACTATATCAAAAGCAAGGATATTTTATTTACTTCTCTGCCGTAAAACCCCTCCCACCACCTGACAGTGTCAAGCCCCTCTAATCTTTTGCCCATCACTGCCCTAAGTTATTAAAAATAGAACTCAACTTTCTCAAATTGGGAAATGTATGACATTTGATGAAGCACAAAATTAACAAATGCAATCTGCTTCAGAAGAAACCCAAAATGCCCCATTGTTTTGTGTACCTCCTTAGTATGCAGTTTCTAAGGCATTAAAACTGGCAAATATGGCACTAATGAGCTTTTATAGCAGCTTTTTCCCTTCCGTGTCTGTTTATTGAGCTGCTCAGAATAAGGGCAATTCACGGCAAGAGATGTTTTCAATTCTAATAAAATAGCTAGTACCTCGCGATCAGCAATTAAAATATAAAACAGAGCAGTGTATCTTATATTATCCTCCTAAATGTTAGGAAAAAACTAATTTCAACTGTTTTTTCTGACACCCAATAAGACAGACATAAATCTGTACAACTGCACAGTGCGATAGTGATGGTTTCCCCAGATGGCACATTAATTCTCAACTGGATCATCTGGGAAGGTGTCGAGTAGAGAAGCACTGGCTCTGAAGGGCATGATGAGTTTTTTTTAATTAGCAGACTAAGCTTCTCTTCGTATGGTTTTGTTTGTAAAGCCACAGCCTGGTGTGCGATGGAGCCATACAGACCCTGACGTTCTCAGGCACTGTAGCTTGCCATTCATAACTGAGTAGCAGGAAAGACTGCTAAATGTTGCCTCGCCACCAGAAAGCTATGGGAACAAAATCAGTCAGAGTTGCTGCTCCTCATCATTAATCAGCGAATCCCATCCCCCCTTCGCGAAAACTGTGCAATGCGGCAACCCCCTCCCCGATTGCTGTCCAGCCTGCCAATCCTCACTATCAGGGCTCTATGGAACTATACTCAGCTTTGTTCTCATACTCAACAAATATTGCACCTTCGTGATCATAGCCAATTGGCAAACACTGAAAACTTTTATAAATATGTCCATCAATTTTGTTAAGACTGCAAAGTTAAAACCCATAAAAAAAAGTGATACATAACTTCAAAACAACATTTCAATAGTTCAAAATGCAAAATGCTGCAGATGCTGGAAATCTGATACAAAAACAGAAGTCGCTGGGAACGCTCAGCAGGTCAGGCAGCATCTATGGTGAAAGGAAAGTGAGTCAACGTTTTGGGTCCACGACCCTTTGTCAGAACCTGATGAAGTTCTGACAAAGAGTTGTGGATCCAAAATGTTGACTCACTTTCCTTTCTCCATAGATGCTGCCTGACTACTTGAAAAGTTCGAGCTGACATGAAAGAAAGTTTTTACAATGTCTAATAAGATGCCTTATTCAGACGTGATGATATTCAGTAAAAAACAAGTATGGAAGGTACCTGGACTCGGTGGCACCCACACGATGAAATATGTGAAATTACAAAGAATTTATCACTATCCGGGGACAGTTTAAACTGTGATATTCAATGAAAGTTTTATGCAATAACATTTTTCCAAGCACTGTCAAACACTAGAAAGGTGACCAGAATATTCCAGGTTAAATTCCCAATGAATTTATTCAGTCTTTCACTTGTAAGGTCGATATAATGAGCATCATGTCTAAAATACATATTCCAAGAGGAACAAGAGGAGATATTCTGTAGCTGATCTGCCTCCAAGGAGGCACTCCTGGCAAAACAAAGGCAGGTAGGTCCCATATTAATTCAATTAACTTTTAATGATTGATCAGCATGTTTAACATGTCAACTGAGCTTTGAGGTGTAGACATCCCCTCAATTCTGTGAGCTAAAGCACTAACTGGTATAATAATAATCCTTGCATTTGATATTTCACCTTATCACGTCTTCAAGGCATCTCAAAGCGATTCACCGAACATACTGTAAGGTGAATTGATTGTACATTCTGTGCAAAATGCCACAGCCAATTGCGCACAGCAGTGTCCATCAAACAATCGTGGATTGAGTGACCACATTATTATTATTTTTGAAGGGATTATTACCCCCGGAAAAGCGATTCGCCAATCGACTAACAACCGTTTCCAACTTACTGCTAGGTAAATAGGGGCATGTCCAGTAAGGAAAGTTGCTCAACATTTTGTCCTGCCCAGGAAGAGAACCGGGGTCCTCTTGCTTGTGAGGCGAGTGCTCTAATCACTAAGTTACAGGACTCCACAAATGGTCCTAGTTCGACAGGTGCACATATCTTTACACTGTGTACACTGTGTTCTGCAGAAATTGGGTATTTGTATCGTGGTTATTATGAAGAACTGGCCATGGGATTTGCTCTTCAACAATAAAAATGTCTCTTAAAGGTTCCAGAATGGTTCAATTGACTGCCTGAGATTTTTAAAGGAAACCGGTAAGCAAATTGTGAATTCACAGCCATCACATTTACCCTGCAGCCAAGGATACTTGCCAGCAAAATTCATGCCAACTCAACCCGATTTATATTGCACGTTTTGTGGTAAAATCATGGAAATTCCCAAAACAGTACAGTCAAAGCAAAGCAATAGATATGTTGGTGAACACATTCTTGTCAATGTGAAAGAAACTAATGAAGGAGAATGGGAATAATTTCCACCCAGTGTCAGCATTGAACATTGTCAACAACAAGAAATTGCATTTATATAACACCTCTCACGTAGGAAGGAAATCCAAGGCACCAGACAGTCAAGGGTTTGCATCCAAGCTGGGGCTGGATTCGGGAAGGGTGGGGCCGGGAAGATGACCGAAGGTGCGGTCGAAGAGGAAGGTCTTGAGGTGGACCTTGAAGGAGGCAAGGTAAGGGGGCGAGGCGAAGGGACTCCGAGATGGAGTTCCGAGAGTGGGGGAAGAAGGGCTGGAGGCCCGACTGCCCATGGTAGGGCGGGTTTTAGAAGGTCACAGAAGTTGTGTGCGACAAGACTTTGATTGGATTTTGAAGTGAGTATGAAGATACTGAACTCGATCCTCTGGGGGATTGGGAGCCAGTGGAGCTCGGCATGGATGGAGGCGATAAACTCGCAAAGCCTAATGCGGGAGAGCGCACAGAGTTCTAAGTGGTTTGCAGATTGTGGAGGTGGGAAGTCTGGGAGCAAAGAGTTGCTGCAATCAAGCCTGACAAGATAATAATAATAATAAGATAGAAGTATGGATTAGAGTCTCAGTGGCCCAAGGGGAGAGGTAATGGTGGAGGTGGGCAATGTTACAAAGTTGGAAGAAAGCTGAACAGGTCAAGGCACGGGTTTACAGGACAGCTGTGAGTCGAACAAGACACCAAGGTTCCTCACTGACTTTGTGAGGTGAAGTGTGCATCCATATATAGTGATGCTGTCAGTGCCTGAGATGAATAGGGTTGGGTGTCATCCACATACATGTAGAAGTTAACTCCATGCCTACGAATGACATCTCAGAGAGGACCAAGGATAGAGCCAGAAGGAACACTGCATGTGACAGTGCAGTGGAAGGAGAAGCCATTGGCAAATATGAAGTGGAGACGTTAGGCCAGGCAAGAATGAAACCAGGCAAAGGCAACCGTGAAGGTGGAGCTGAGAGGAAAGGCGGTGGAGAATAGAATATCGAGAGTGTCAAAGGCGGCGAATATCGAGAGTGTCAAAGGCGGCAGAGAGGTTAAGAAGTACGATGAGCCTAGATTGGTATAGCACAGCCAATACTTCAACACTGTAATTCTAATAAAACTGAATGAAAACCCTTACTTGACCATTGTAATATTCCATAATTATTCTTGTAACTTCTCTCAATGGGTTTCAATTTAGCATCAAATTACAGATAATCTTTGGATCATAAGAATTGTTGGGCTCAGAACCCTGCTCAGGTTTGTGAGGAAATTTATATGGCATCAGTATGGTCTGAATTTTCCTACTAAGACAAGTGCTAACACCTCTGTATTACCAGTCCACAATATATCATTCATAATTACACTACCCTACAAATTACGCCATACTAAAAGTATAAGCGATACTCTTCTGAATAAGGCATTTATCCACTCCATCTTTTATGCTAAAATAGTTCAGTTGGAAAGTGCTACCAGTCATCTCACCTCTTTTCTTCCCTTGCTCGCTGTTGTTCTTCTTGTCTTAAAGCCTGAATCATGATGGACTCAGTAACTCCTGTCGTCAGACCACCCAGGTTCCGGGGCAGAGATCGCCGACGGGTAGAGGTACATACTGTCGCCCTCTCCTCCTCCAGACCATAACGGCCCTTTGAAGTTACTGCTATCGATGTTTTCTCTCTTAATGCCCTAAAAACATACAAAAGAAAATAACCAATGATAGAGAAAAACACAAGCATCTTCATTCCATTTTCCAGTCATCAAAGGCATTTGTATAATGTGCAGCTCTGCAATTCTTTAACATACATGTTCTACCTCTATGAAAACACAATTTTCACAGTAAGAAAATTACTATCCCAATTCAAAAAGTATCTACATTAGGCCACACATAAAATGTCACAGGTTCTTGAGCTAGTTGATTGCAGAAGAAAGCATTTGAGGCACTGGGTCAGGAAGCTGCAATCGACAGGGTTCCTACTCTGGTTCAATTGCTATCCAGGAATCTCCCTCTGGAAGGTACCCTTTTATGGGCAAAACTAGACTTGGCTATGATGCACCTAAAGTTGAATCCCCCAAACTGCCAACACCCACTCCCAAACACAATGAAAATAGCTGTTTGGACAAGGAATTAAAAGGATTCCCAGTATTCATGGAATATAACAGTAGTACAAGCAAAAATAAATCAGACACCTTCAAGGGAGCAAAGAAAATTAGGAGAAAATGCAAAGTCTATTTTCTGTTCTTCTGTCCTCTCAAACCATTTATGCTTTATGTATGCTCGCTACTCATTTATCAGAGCTAGTTCACCATTCTCCTCACTGGTTAGGTGAAACACTTCAGTTTATTGCCAGTTTATTTGTTTTCATAGCTACCAAAAGTCACAAACACAGCAAGAATTTAAAGAGACAAATATGATATGATTGTACATAGAACAGGAAAGCTAACAGACAAAAAAATCTTGCACGTAAAATAGGGACAAAGGAGGCTTTCTCGATGGTTCAGAAAATATGTAAATATACCATGATGAAATGTGGTACTAAACCACCCAGATTGTTGAAATAGACTGTGTTTGCTAATCTCAGCCAGGGAAATCATGAGGTGTGACAATTAGCTGCAGGACTACTTATGAACTAGTGTTTTACCATGAGCAATAGTGTCTGACAAGAACACAACTTTTTATATAGCTTCTTTCAAAAACGATAACATCTCAGAGAGCTTTACAAGCTCTTCTATGAACTATTTTTGAGGCTGAGAATATTTCAACAGACTTTCTGTAGCCCGAGGCAGCAATTTTTGACTATTCACTTACTTACACACACCCGAGTCACCTTATTTTGCAGGAGAACATCGTACATAATATTACACAGACCACATAATAGCCCACATGGAAGAGAACTCAAGGATATAATTAGGCAATAATGAACAAGCAATGCGCCTTATAAGAAAGAGCTTTATCACATCAGTGACTGTCTTGATTCAAGAAACAGCAGTGTTAAAACAATTATAATTTAAAGAAATAGAAATACACTTTGACGTTCCCTGTCCTGTTGTATGTTGTACATTTTTAAATGCTCAGCAAGGTGAGTGACGGATCACAGAATGGAACACTTTCATTTCACGAACCCAGTCCACTCATCAAGCACTCCTGCATCAGCTGTCCTTTGGCCAGCTGGATGTCAAAGGACATTGAACAATATACTAATACAAAAACATTTTAATCCTAAGACTGCCAGCAGATCTATAGAAACTCCTTTCTCCATAGCCTGACCAATTTCTAAGCTTTCACCTTACATCGAAAACCCCTCTAACAAATTAATCGATATTCAAATAATACCATATGTTCACTACTTAAATAAGACCTTAAAGCTGAAATAAAAATGTGAATACTTCATCTGCATTCAATGCAATGGTTTCCTATCCCTTATTTTTCTCCCTGTTTTTACTTTGAACCTGCACTTAAAACTTTGTTTCAAACTTTAAAGCCTATTTACTCTTCTTAGAAATTTGTAGCACAGAAAGAGGTCATTTGGCTCTTCGTCCTCCTACTCCGTTTTCATTTTCCTTTAAACGCCAGGTTTGCAATACAATAAAAAGTCCATACTCTGATGATTGGTAGGTTATATCTTGGCTATGATAGTAAAGTAGGGCTGTCAGCAGACAACCTTCAACAAATTGTCCAACCGAGTATGCTTATCCATGCTGCTCAAAAGGTTTAACTTACTTCAGCTGTAGTATAGTACAACAGTGCCAATGCTTCCATTCCCCAAACCAACCATCCTTAACCTCCCTGAGAAATGGCAATCAGTGAAAAGTATGAACAGATTTATGTTGTGGAGTTGTGTATAATATTGGAACTAGATTGAGACTGCTCAAATGCACTTCACATTCCACTTTTATAGCTTGCATGGAAATGGAATGTTTTTGTAGAGTAAATAAATACTTGGTATCAAAATTAAAAAGAGAAGCATCCATGAGACGAACAATAAGCTCAAGGAGGGAAATTCCAATCATCTGAATAAATTGGGAACTATACAAGGCTGGAGCAGCCAAATCTCAATGTTGCTGTTTCACCAGTATCCTACCAAACTCGATTTTTCTTGCACCAAAGAAAACTTTCAAATCTTTCCAAATCCTACTAAATTTCAGAACCCAAAGAATGTATACCAAAACACATACTGTATTAGTTTCCACAAATACAATAAACTCGTGCTTTACAGGTTATGATAATAATAACCCTAGCATTTGATATAGGGGCTTATCACGTGTCACAATGTCTCAAAGCGCTTCAGTGGGCAAAACATACAAAATATATATGACAGAAACTAAAAATACAGGAGACAAACAAAATGCAAGTAGAAAAATATGAATAAAGCATATTTGGGGACAGTCCAATGTATGAAATGTTGACTAAAATGTACCAAGTTTCAGTATAATTCAATCAGTTTTGCATAAACTCCAGCTCAACCATTATTTCAGACAAAACAAGCTTAATTGGCAACATGATTCTATTCCGATTCTGAAGCAGAATCAAAGGATTATCAGAACCATTTCCAAGTATAGGGTCCTCCACATTTTCTATTTTTATGGATTTTCAAAATAATAACCCTTGCATTTGATACAGGGTTTCATCATGTTGTAGACACCTCGAATGCTTCACATTATATACTGTAAAGTGGATTAAATGTGTATTTTGTGTCTGAACCAGTTTGTTCAGATCAATATTCCACAAACAGCTATGAAATGAATGACCAATTTTATCTGGGGGTTGCTGGTCAGGACACTGAGAAAAACTCCCTTCTCTTTTGAATAAAGCCAAGGAATTGTTAAATTCCATTTGAACAGGTACCTGGGACCACGATTTAATGTCTCATTCGTAGGATGGCAACTCCATCAATGTGGCCCACCTCCAACATTGGAGTGTCAGTAGACATTACATTTGTTCCAAGTCCTAATGGGTCTTGATCCCACAACCTTCTGACTCAGAGGCAGGAGATCAACTGAGCCAGGCTGACACATACATCTCTCTTAAAGACGATTTTTTTCCCCTGACAACCTTGGTTCCAGAGGCAAATGGGAACTTTTGTGCACTCTACCATTCAATCTCCATCAGCAATCACTTTCTTAAATGTTCTCAAATCCACTTCATACAGCAGAATGTTTGCAACCAAAGTAAAGACTGCTCTAAGTCCCCTTTCACAGTTGGAACAAAGAGTTACACAGAATGATATGGTACGGAAACAGACATTTGGCTCAACTTCTCTGTGCCAACAAGATATTCTAGAAGCAACCAAACAGGTATCTTCAGTGAGAGGATGAACTCTGCTTGAAAAGGAAAGCAGCAACTGAGGGGATTTGATAAGCTAAAATCATTTGGATTAAAGCAATATCACAATTGAAGTGAAATAATCAGTGCCCCTTTACTAGAGACATTAAACGAGAACTATAAAAAGAAACTGTTGTTGACACTTTTAAGTTGCAAATGTGGCAGTTCTATAAACAATGTTTTAATTGCCCGGCTTGAGAATTTTGCCATCGCTTAGCTAGAAACTGAAAACATGAAGAAGCCCGATGGGTACTTGCAGAATTTATCTCGTAGAGTGAATGACGTATGTGGGAACAAAATAAGTCAGGTTGAGTTCAGATGGTGCAGATGTTTTGAGTTGAAAATTCACATAAAATTCAAAAGGTTAAACGACTAACTTACAGGTAAGGTTCATTTGAACAGGTGTCTGTGCTGGTGGAACTTGATACGATTAATACAAGAAATGGATATATTCTGTGAGACAAGCTCACGATTCAAGACATGGATTGCTTTTTTAGAAAGCTGAAGCCTGCTTTTGTTTCCCTCAGTACATCTGCCATCTTACTAAATAAGGTTATTGGTAATACCACCATTTTATGGAAATGAATCAATGAGCAACAAAGGCAATTATAGGAAGAACAATCTACTTTATAGTATATCCTGCGAAGCACTTTGAGACATCTCAATGAGATGATAGGGAACTATATCAAATGCAAGGATTATTATTATTGTGGGCAGAATATAAGATAACAACATACACACTATGTTGAAAAAATTTTATGGAGATCCACTCGGCCCCTTAAACTCAGAAAATAGACCATTTGGTCTGATTTAGCAACCTCAAAGTGAACACCACAAAACTGTCTTAATCAAAGACTTCGAACTACCAACCTCAAAGGTCCTAGAGAAAAGTTTATATGGGAAATATAAAAGTAGAGGGTGCTCTTCTGCATAATGTAAATTGTTACTGCAGTGATGAAAAAAAGCACAATTTAGCTTGGTTCAGTTAGTATCATTTACTAATACTAGTACACCTCTGGGTTGGAAAGTGGTGGTGTGGGGCTCAAGCCCCACATTGGTACTTTGAACTCACAGTCTAGGTTCTTCATCAGAGAGATGCTGTATGAAATGCTAAACTAAGGTCCCACTACCTATTCAAGCAAATGTTAAAGGTCCCATGACAAAAAAAACGAAAGGTAGTTTCTACCAATATTCTGGCCCGCAATTCTCTACATAAATTGGTCATTTACTTCATGGCTATTTGTGGGGCATTGTTATAGGTAATTACCTGTCTCATTTCCCTACAAGTACTTGCCAGTAATTTCTTGTGAAGTGAAGCTCAGGCAGGTGTTAAATCAAATGCAAAGATTATTATTTCATGTCAAAACATAGAATTCCCAATCCTTACAATGGATTCCCTACTTCTGAAGCATAAAGTTGTACGATTTATGGTTCAGAAGTAGGGAATGCACCATTTCTTTAAAAAATCCAACATGCGATCTGACATTATGGAACCTAAAAAATAGAATACTGTAAATATGTTTAATACAACTTACACTACCCTTTAGAAGTCAGCTTTTGATTTATTCATTCACTTTTGGCATTAATTTAAACAGTAAAATTGTGCAAGAAACAGAAGTCAGATAACAACAGTCTGGTTCAGATGGTTGAGCTCTTGCCTCGGAGTTATAAGATTGTGGTTTTAAGCCCCGCTTTGGGACTTTGAGCTCATAGTCTTAGGTTAAACTGCAATGCAGCACTTGCAGTCAAGAGTCCTTCCAATGCAATTTTTACCCAAGGTCCAACTGCCTGTTCGAGTGGCCATTAAAGATCTCATGGTACTGTTCAAAAAGTGTTTCTCTCCAGTGTCCTAGCAAACTATCTTCCAGAAAAATTTGTCACACTCCATGGTTGTTTTGGGACTTTGCTGGTCACAAATTAGTCATTCGTTACCAAAAAATGTGAAACATGAGAAGTTTTGATGTATAATTCATTATATTCAATACAAAGCTAATAATCCATAGCTGTTTACAGCCGAGTCACTCAGTAGGAGCAAAACACAGCAAGTGTATCACTGCCCAACTAAACTCTGTCCTTCCCTCATTTCCTCTTCACTGACCTCCAGTCCATATGGTAGTTTATCGAACACCAACCTTGCATCAGCTCCCATTCTTTTGTTACAGTGCCCTTCCTCATTCTGGCAACTGTGTAGTGTATAGTGTGTTCAAACATAGCAGGAACTTTTTCTAGCTCTGAAAAGCAACCACATTCGATGTGCAGCACGCGTCAGTAATGAATTTAACCGATGGCCATCAATGCTTAATCCATTCTGTCCTAACCCACACACCTCAATAGTCAATAGATAACCATCAGGAGCAGGAAACTAATCCATTTCATCTCTCCTTAGGGACATTAAGGGCAATTGTGGTCTTCTACTGGGCAGATGTAGCACATTCAAGGTGGTTCACTCAACTCAAAATCTGACTCCCCTACCAACCTGCCCGCTCCCTCCGGCCTGCTTCACATCCCCTACCTCACCCACCCCACCACTGGCGGGCAGACCTTCAGCTACTCTGCCCCCACCCTCTGGAACTCCATCCCGCAGTCCCTCTCCCTGGCCTCCCCACCCCCGTCCTTGCCTCCTTCAAGATCTGTCTCAAGACTCTCCTCTTCGACCTTAACTTCGATCACCCTCCTTCCCCCACTACCCTCAACCCTCCCAGATCCTGACCCCCAGCTCGGGTCCAAAACACTGACTGTCCAGCACCTTGGATCATCCTCCCGACGTTTTGTTGTTGTTGTTACTTCATGTAGGACTTCTTGGAGCACTTTGCAATAACAAGCAGGCAGGAGAGACGACCACTGATATGGTCAAATAGATACATTTTACGGTAGGACAGATAGAGAGGGGGAAAGGGGAGAGGGAGTTCCAGAAGTTAGGAGCACAGAATCTGAAAGTTCGGTTGCTGATGGTGACACAGAGAGATCAAGGGCTCACAACAAGCCCGAGTTAACAGAGTGGAAGGGGCGAGCAGAGTAATTTGGTAGAAGGAGATAGAGAGTGATTGATGTGTGAGGATGAAATTTATCTGCTGGGAGACAAAGAAGCCAATGGAGCCTGGCGAGTTCTGGGGTGATGTACGTTGCGAGTTTGTTGCAGGTGACGATGCAGAGATCATGTGAGATGGGAAGGGGGAAGAGAAGAGCAGGTGATATGACATAGGGGAAGAAAAGCACCCTCGGTCAGGGACTAATGCGAGGGAGAAAGAAAAGCTGAGGACTGAACCGGACGCCGAGGTTGCACACTTGATTTGGTGAGTTTGAGAGAGGGACCAGGGAGGTTGAGGAGGTCAGTGCCAAAAGTGAGGAGACATTTGCAGGAGTCAAAGAGGATGGCTCTATCTTGTCCATATTAAGTTGTAGGAAATGATATATTAGCTATACCACATTGTTCTTTTACTAAATGATCCAAGGAGCAAGGGGACCAGTATGATTCACCCAACATGTCCAATTTGTAATCTTGTACTAAATCGAGCTTCAAGAAAGCTTCAGGATTAAATAGTCCTTCATGTTCGATGTGAAAGGTGCTATACAAATGTAATCTTGTTGTTGTTGTTTCAGACCTCTTTACCCTTGTACAGAATATGCATTCCAACCTTTGAAGAGTGACTTCACAGTGATGCTTATCGTTGAGAAAATTCCAATTTGAAGATAAACCATTCGTCACACACACCAGCCCAGATGGTACCGATGGCCCATTAGTGTCCAGTCAACATTAACAGTTCTTTTGACCAATCGATCAAAGCTGACCAGTTCCTTGGGATTTTTGACAAAGCACTGAAAACTGGCAAGCTACTAACATTAAGTTTAAATGCTGTCATGCAGGATGCATGTACTTAATGCATTCCTCTTCATAATGTTAATAACCCAGGGTTGGACTGGCTTTGAAACCTAGGCTTATTGGTCCGTAATATTATGTGGCCGGATGCAGCTGAGCGGAGGCAGCCGGTGGTGGAATGGGGGTTAAGCAGATCGGATAGGTAGTGAGGTTGCAAGGGCATGAAGTGATTTGAAAACAAGTGAGACGATCTTGAAATTGATCTGTTTGGTAATTGGGAACTAGTGGAGCCTGGCAAGGACTGGTGTGACTGGAGTTTTGTTCGGGTGAATATCCGAGCGGCGGAGTTTTGGTTTAATTGAATTTTGTGTATGGAGTAGTCCAATGGACGAGGGTTTGGGCTGCATCGATTGTGAGACAGGAACAGAAACGGGCAATGGGATGGAGGTGGGGAAAAAGCAATCCTGGTCAGGGAATAGTTCCAAGTACAATCATGTATAACATTAAAGTTACCTTGTATTATGGAAATAGAGTGACTTGATTGAATTCCCCAACATAAAGGGAAGGAGGGGATTCCAAAATATCAGTGGTAGCAGGAATAATTAAGTCCCAAGCACAAGCAGAGAAATTAATTGAAATTTTGGAAAGTGTGAATTTCTTAAATTCATGTTAACAGTAAAAATTATCCTCAGTTAATCATTGTATTCTCAGTTAGGATTGGTTCAATGATACCAGAAAGATTGCCAGTTGGCATAGAAAATTATAATGCAAGGTTTGGTTACTGGCACACATATCAAATACCTAATACAGTACTTGTGTTGGCACTTCCCTGCACGACAACTATATTCCAGAAGGAATCTTTTAAAACTCAAATGGTCGGCCACAAGAGTGTTTAATGGTAAAAAATGCTGACACAGCAAGAATATCAAAAAAATCTAAATGTAATCGAAAGAATAGGTAAAACATGGGAAAGGCCAAAGAAAACAGATTAAATGTGGTACTTAATACCAATAATAAAATCCCAGTATTTATTTATAAATTTTGTTGGAATAATGGTTCATCGACTTTATATCTAAACATTTAAAATGAATGTTCTCAATGCAACAATTACTTTGAATCACTTTGATTTTCCTTCAATGGGAAAACAGCCATGAAGAGAATGAATGATTTGGTTTGAGGGATTGCTGGCCAGGACAAGAGGACAAACACCCTTCTCTTGTTATTGAAAACAGGAGCTGAACAATAGATCAATATATCACAAATGGTATGTGTGAATATTATAGAATATATCTGATTGGAAGCCCATTGTCGAGTCTCACAATATTAAGGTACTAAGTGAAATGCAGAACTTTTACAGACACAATTCACCTATTGATTATTTCTTGACTGCTAGTTTTTCCAGAAACAGGAACAAACAATTTAGGTGAAAATCTAGCAATAAGTTTGAGATGAAAGCTTATTTCAATATTTAGTGATAGATATGTCCAGGCACATAATTATTTTCTCAAGTTTAATGAAGGGAGAAATTCTTGGGAAAATGTGAAATTTTGGAGTCTCAAACAGATTAAGTCTCAAGCTGATAATAGTGATACCAGAAGGACTGTAGTAAATCATAACATTGCCCATGAAGAATTTTAAACTGTGTCCACTGAAACTATAGAAAAACAAAAAGCAGTAAAAATTAACCCCTCCAAACAAGGTTTTGTCTCTTGAAAACATTTTGAGTTTGGGTTCAATACTATAGGAAGTACTGTTAATTGAAAACTTGTCATTGATAAAGGCATCAGACAATTATTATTGAAGTTGTCGTAATGAATTAAGAGTTACGTAACATTCAAATGTTGTGGCCTTGGTACAACTTTTCTATTAGTTAAATATCACTGCGGCAATACTATTATATATTCCCTTCCATAGACTTTGAGTGATGCAAACAGGAAGATGGAGAAACAAGGAAGAATTTGTTTTGGAAAGTTACATTGGTGCTGTCTTACCAGAGACCTTACTTTAATGTACATGGAAGTTAAAATTAAAGGAGGAAAATACAAAGACCATAGTATACTATGGAACGGGGGGATAAGTAATTACACTACTGTGATTAAATTAATCCAAATCATGCCTCAATAATTATATAAAGCAAAACTGCTAAATATTTAATGGTTAAATCAGGATTTATACCCATATTTGGAAATGAATGCATTTATATAGGATTATTTGCAATTAGGATTTGGTAAGAAAAATTTGTGCAGTCTTAACACACGTTATAAGAGGAGACAAAATAAAACTGCAAGAGGCAAAATGAAGACCCTGGAGGAACTCCACATGGAGGGCAGAAATTGGGCTCAGTTATAATAATAATAATGATCCTTGCATTTGACACAGCACCTTATCACACCATTGAGATGTCTCATAGCTCTTCACAGAATATACTGTAAAGTGAACTGACTCATTTTGTCGGGCGAAACGTGGTAACCAATTGCTCTGATGTTCTCCTTTGATGTTCTCTTTTGCCTACCACTCCCCTCCGAGTCAAATAGCATAACAAAATTAACTTTATTAGTTCATATGAAGAACTTTGAGCAATGTACTACAATGTAAAGGAGTGGAAAACTGACAATGCAATACAGTCATATCACAGTCAGAAACTGCTTTCAGGAAGATACGTTCCACAGCTCTTGAGGTCCTGGGAAAGCAGCCTGTGCAATACATTTAAATATAACAAAATAATAATGTAGGATGATGTGCTATAGAACACCTGGGAGCCAACAATCTCCATACACAGCTATCTGCAATGGATTTTCATGTGGAAGTCAAGTTAGCTGAGATAACAGATTTTTTTTTAAAGTTGTACTCATAGATGCAGGTTTGTAGGATAGCAATTTAATAGAGTGGGACTGTGAACAATTTCTAATCCAATGAGAGAAGAGAGAGAGAGAGAAAAGAGGAAGACAGAGAGATGCATGCATATCCACTGTTTCCATACTGCAACTGAGCCGGCTTCTATTAATGTGGAGATGGTGCTCCACTGTACCTGGAGCCGAGAAGTAACAAGGGTGAACAATTTGGAGCAGTAACCTCATTAGCTACCTGGCCGCAAACAAGAGAGTGAGAGAGCGCTAAAATGATCTCAACAATTCTTGGTTGGGGAAGGAAAGTCCTTACGTCACGGCTGCTGATTACCATCCAGTGACTAGTGCTGAAAAATGTGCATCCCTGGAAATCAAATGAAGACAGGATCAGCCTTGGTTGTTAATGCCTCCTGCAGTAGAATTCACTGTCCTAAATGAAGAATGGTGACTTGGGTGAAGTTCAACAGTGGGCTGTACCCTATCATGAAAAATAACCTTCACAAAATAAAGTAAAACTCACATAAGTCTGAGGGAGAGACCAGAGAAGCTGAGGAGTTCAGACCCCCGGGAGGTAAGACGTTAACGGGAGCCAAAGAGTATGGCTTCCGCCTAGCCAACATTCAGCTGCAGGAAATTTGCACTCATCCAGGCCTTGATATCCGTCAGACAAGCTGACAGGACGTCAGTGGACTAGGAATCGCGGAGGAGGAGAAATAGATTTGGGTGTCGCATACACGTGGAAGATAAGACTTATGCAAGTTTTACTGTAATACGGAACAAAAGGGGAATGAGAGGTGTGCTACACCAAAGCCATTAAAGTACCCACTACTAACTATTACCC